TTTTTTTTTTTTTTTTTTTTTTCCCTCCCTGCTGTGGTTCTTTTTCCCTCCGGTCTGCGCACCTGGACGTCCCAAGCAGCTCATGCAAGAATTGTCCCCAGGGGTGTCTTTCCTGTGCATTCCAGCGTTATGTTGTGGTGTTTTTAATCATATTTCCTTCAGGAAGGGGCTTTAGGGGGCATTTCCCACCTGGGTTGGGGCCCTGCTCTCCTTTGGGTGCCTTTGCTCCCTGTTTACCTCTCTGTGGGTCCCTGGGGTTTCTAAGCTGCCAGCTCAGCTCATGCCACAGCTTAAGAGGGTTTTCAGAGCAGAACTAGGCCCTTAAAGTAAGTATTTTATCTTCCAGCATAGTGGGGGTTGCAATTCCATCAGCTGGTAGCTCACACAAAATTATTGTGATGTATGTATTGACGTTCTTACGTAGGACATGTTTTAGTAGTGACATATATGTTCTAGAGTGTACTTATATATATATATTTCATTTGTTTTCTTTTTAGGTCTCTTATTCCAATCCCAATAGTTTAACTGACAAATAATCTGAACAAGAGGAAAAATGATGTCAAGACAGGCCTTTCTCTGCAGTTTGGGATCTCTATATTTATCCCTTCTGTTTGTATTTCTTCTAATGGATGTTTATGCAAGGCCTGCAAACAATTCTGCCCTTAAGGAAAAGGTAGTTGAGGCTAAGGATGAGAACGAGATCTTGCCTCCAGATCACTTGAATGGAGTCAAAATGGAAATGGATGGACATCTTAACAAAGAATTTCATCAAGAAGTTTTTCTAGGAAAAGAGATAGAAGAATTTGAGGAAGATTCTGAACCCAGAAAGAACAGAAAGAAGCTCATGGTCATCTTTTCAAAGTAAGTTATCTACCAAGGAAGGAAGTGTGTTCTGCTTTTCTGCACTTCAGAGTAGAATTTGTCAAGTGTTTTGTAATAACCAAAAATGATGTTAGGCAAGGGGCAGAGGGGTGCATCATACTGTAAGCTCTGTCTTCGTATCCTTAAGGTGCAAAAATGCTTATATACATGCACACGTAGACACTGTTCGCATGAATGCCCTTCTAGGAAGGGTTTGTATGAGCTTAAAATCTCTCTTTAAGCAGTGGTAATAAGAAACCCAAATTAGTGTATTGTTTGTGTTCTTTCAGGCACTAGATGGCAGAGTTTGCTTTATTTGTACTTTTGCAATTGAGGATTAATTTTGTCAGAACGACCTAGATTATATCGGTGCTCTTAGTGCTGATTGTCACGTGGGGTGTGCATATACCTGAGATAACATGAGAAAGCTCAAGCTTTTAATCCTGCAAATGTTTCGCAGACAGAGTAAAAAATACCCATAGCAACACAGACTTTTTTTCTGGTGTGCTCCTGAATAAAGCAAATAGGCAAACCCAGGATGTCTTTTCCATTCAGAGCAAGTCCTTTATGAATATTCACTTCAGTGGTAGTATGTATGCAAATACAAATATTAAGAATGCTTTCAATTTCTTTTTTTGCCATGTGTTTACAGGAAATGTACAGCTGTTGTTTAGTAATTTGTCATTCACAAATCACAGGCTCCATTCACTTCTGCCTGGTTGTTATGAAACAGGTTTCTTTAGGAAGTTAGAGGTTCAAGTCAGCTTCACTCAGATACTCCTTTAAACTTCCATTCCCTGAGATGATGACTTTAGAAGTACATTTTGGGGAATTTGGTGGCATTCTAGAATTTCCCTTGAAGGGTGAGTAAAGGGAGAAATATAATGGACTTTTATGAAAAGGTGTATGAAAAAGTATATCATAGGCTCCCACTTGCTGTGGAAATACTTTCTTTCAAATCCTAAAGAAAATTGCACTTTATGTTTTTGGTTAGGGAAACTGAGGTTCTAGAGCATGCCCATATGATATCAAGGATTCAATTCAAAGCAGAAATTATCATCTAATGGGATTACTAAGCATTTAGTGTATTCTCCATCAAAATGGTTTAAATTAGCCTGAGATCTATAGAAAATTCTCCTGCATTATGGTGGATTTTGGCCTGTGTAGGAGGTCAATGGAAAGGGAGGAGGTGGAAGGATCTTGAAAATAATGAAGCAGATTCATGATGACTGATTTTACTAAATAAATGACAGTGAGTACTAAAATTCAGATTTTGGTGAGCCTCACTTTTAGAGGGGCCATTATCTTAATTAAGTTATCTAATCCCATAAATTAAATTACCTTTCTTCTGCACTTGGACTTAGCAGCTTTGTTCAGTAATGTAATGTGTGTGGCTTTCTGCCAGGATGTGTTTGTGGTGATGGTGTTACCTTTGTGAGTTTGAAAGCTGAACAGCCTGCTTCTAAGATTTGCATTTTGCTGATCCTCTCAGCAACTTAGAGGCAGCCCCCTTGTTTCATTTTTTTTTTTTTCAAGTTGTGACTGAAACATAAAAATCTTGTGTGTGTGGAGCTGAATGTGTCTCCCTGATGATCATTCATCAGTCACAGGCTAAAATACAACTCTTAGCTATCATTACATGCAGAGATTGATAAATAGGTTATTTCCCTCCTGTAAAATTCCGGAGTGCATCCTTTCCAAGGCAGAACTCGTTCTCACGAAGTCTGATTAGGCAGAGCTTGAGCTTTGGTGATGCTTTAGAGAGTTGTCTTGCAATGTAGCAGCTGTGCCTCTGTGTTCAGACTGCACTTAGGGAGTGGTTTTGACAAGACCTATATCCCTCTTTCCCATTCCCCCTTTCTTAGTTTCAGGCCTGCCTTGCAGAATCTAATGCAGTTTTGATTATTCCTGGTAATCCTGCTTTCCCTGATGGGAAGATGTTGGTTATGACACACTATAATATAATTTTTCTGTCCCTTTTACATGGTAGCCTTGATGCAGGACCATATAATTGTTTTTCATACACTTGTAAGTATTTCCTTCATAAAAGCTGAGGGGCTATTTATGGGCACCAGAATGATTTCAGCTCTCATCATGTAGTAGGTACCTGCTAATTCACAAAAGTCTGAGTCATCTGAGGCTTCTTATGAACTGTGGTAACAGGAAAAAAGCTCCACTTTCATTAACTAGAGGAGTAATGTCCTGATTCAAATTTCAAGATAAATGTGATGCTTGTTACCTGTTTGTTATCATGTGATCCAGATGTAAAATGTAGGTTGGAAGTAATAAGTTTGATGACTTTGATCTAAAGAAACTTAAATGTTGAGGAGAAAGTACTTTGCTATATCTTCTTGTTTTTTAACAGGCCCTGTTCTATATCAAAACCCACATTTGTTCACAGGCCGAATGCAAGGTGTACAAGTGGAAAACTGCCACAACAGTGGCAGTGTAAGTGTGTGGAAAACACACAGCAGTGTTTTCTTGCTGATTACAGAAAAGCTGCTGATGCTGAGTATTTGTCTTCATATATGCAAAGATATGATATTTAAAAATCCTAACACTGCTCTACCTAATGCAGCTAAATCATTTATCAGATTAGATGCTTGGGTCTTTTTTGACTGAGGCTGCTTGTCTGTTTTTACACAGAGTGGATATAAATAATGATAAAAAGATAAGCGCTAAAGAGATGCAGCGCTGGATCATGGAGAAGACAGATGAACACTTCCAGGAAGCTGTGGAAGAGAATAAAATGCACTTCAAAGCCGTAGACCCTGATGGTGATGGTAAGATGAAGAATTCACCAGTCTCCTGGTGACATCTCAAGTCAGTTGCTAGCGGCCAAACTAACGGGCTTCTCTTTGGATATGCTGTGATAAATCCTACTTCCTTTGGACTACTTTTAACCCTTTGGATCTCAGGAGCTGAGATTGATGCAGAAAATAGCAGAGCAAAGAAATTATGTGTTCCAGTCAGCATTATAGTCCTGTGTGTTGACTGCTGCATAATTTCACTCGTAGACACAGGAAATCTTAATATCTCTA